ACCAACTTACTCAAGCAGCAGTTCACTGTACTAGTAAATGTCTGGCAGCTAATGGCCACTACTTTGAGTACCTCTTGTAATTGTTGAGGCCAAAGGTAACTTGTATTAATCACATGATATCTCAATAAATTAATATTAAAATATTTATACAAGGATTTTTTTTCCTGGAGTATTTACATTTTGTGTGTGTGTGTGTGTGTGTGTGTGTGTGTATTTCTTTGGCAGACTTTGTAGTACCCAAGATCATGCCTCCATGACCCACCCAGACACCTAGAAATGTTTTACTAATCCCCTGGGCAGCTCTCAAGCTAATCAAATTAACATTCCAGTTTAACTGTTACATGATTCTAATTTTTTTTTGGTACTGAGAATCAAACTCAGGACCTTGTGCATGCCAGGCAGGCACAGCACCACTGAACTAAATCCCCAGCCCACCATTCTAATCTTGGCTATTATGAAAATACTACAGTGAACTTAAAGAGTGTAGATATCTCTTCAACATATTGATTTCATTTCCTTTGGCTATATACCTAGCAGTGGGATTGCTGGCTAATATGGTAGCTTCTATGTTTAATTTTTGGAGGAACTTCCATACTGTTTTCCATAGTGACAATGCTAATTTACATCCCCATCAACTGTGCAAGGGTTCCCATTTCTCCACATCCTTGTCAACACTTGTTATCCTTCATCTCTTTTACAGTGGCCATTCTAACAGGTATGAGGTGACATCTCAGTTTGATTTTACAGTAATTTGCATTTCTTTGATGATCAGTAATGTTGGGCATTTTTTCATATAACTGTTGGCCATTTATATATCTTTTTTGTTTTGTTTTTTTGAGACAGGGTCTCATTATAATAGTTCAGGCTGGCCTTGAACTCACTATATAGTCCAGGCTGACCTCAAATTCTCAGCGATCCTCCTGCCTCAGCCTCTTGAGTGCTGGGATTACAGGTATGTGCCACCATACCCAGCCATTTATATATCTTTTGAGAAAGGTATCTTTTACCCCATTCTATCTTTTCTTCCTGTGTGAGTTGTTTTGAGCTCCATATATATATTTTAGATTTTAAACTCATATCAGATGTATGGATTGAAAGTATTTTCTCCCAGTCTGTAAGTTGACCATTCACTCTATTAGCTATTTCCTTTGAGTATAGATTTGTCTATTTTTGCTTTTGTTACTTGTGCTTTTGTGGTCATATCCAAAAATTTATTGCCCAGATCAATGTCATAGAGCTTTTCCTCTGTGTTTTGTTGTGGTAGTTTCAGCTTATGTAACTTAGAAGATTTTATTTAACCCATTTTGAGTTGATTTTTCATATATATATATAAAATGTGGGACAAAGCTCTAATTTCATTCTGTATATGGATGCTGTGTTTTTCCCAACACCATTTACTGGAGAGACTATCCTTTCCCTATTGTGTGTTGTTGGGTAGTACCACCCTGAGCACCGAGGAGCAGAGCCCCACCCCCCAGTGTGGAGGAGGTGAGCTGCTCAGTCGCCAGCAGCAGCACCCCACCCCTCATCCCCACAGCAGTGCCGAGCCAGTACCTAGATCCACACCACAGAGGTGCAGGGGTCATAAAGGACATTGTTCTGAGCTCCAGAAGATAGAACAGAAGTGAACAACAGAAGTGGGCCTCTCTGAGGCTCCTTGATGAAAATTGAAGCTCACTGGAAAAGTGAAGAAAATCTCTGCAATAAAGGCACACCAGACCACCTTAGTTGTTCTTCCTGGTATACTGAAAATGAGATTGCCTAAGAGTCATTAGAGACTCAAAACCTAAAGACCAGCTATATCTGGAAGACACCTCTGAGAAGTACTCATTCCATAAGGATTCTAAATACAAGCAACAAAGGTACTTATAATAAGCAATATTGAAGTATCAACCCGGGAATTAAACCAAGGACAGTACCAACAGCAAAAATAGAAATGAGAAGACATTTAAGCAAGGCACAAACCCAGACTTCCAGCTCACCAAAGGCAAATTCTAGGGGAAATGAGGTGGAAAAGTCTGATAATCAACCACCTGGACACCCTGAACTGATAGCGCAGGAAGTAACAAAACAGATGAATGAGGCTCTAGAAAAATTCAAAACAAATCATTTCTCAGATAGCTACAGAGATGGTGAGCAGAATGAAAGACATGATTAGAGACTCTAGAACAGAAACTGATAAAAAAAAAAAAAGTAGACGAGGGCTGAGGATTTAGCTCAGTGGTTCTGCCACCTGCCTCGCAAGCACAAGGTCCTGAGTTCAATCCCTGGTACCAAAAAAAAAATTAATAAATGATCTCAAGACCATGATGGAAGCCATGCATACCTGTTGTGTGTTGTTGGTATCCATGTCAAAAATAAGTTGACCATAAATATGTGGATTTATTGCTAGACTCTGTTCTGCTCCATTGGTCTGTATATCTGTTTATGCCAATACCATGCTCTTTTTATTACTATAGCTTTGTAGTATACTTTGAGATCAGATAGTATGTTGCCTCCAGCTTTGCTCAGTTTGCTCAAGATTGCCTTTATGCAAATTTTAAGATGTTTTTTCAATTTCTGTTAAAAATATCATTGGAATTTTGATAGAGATTACATTGAATCTATAGCTCACTGTGAGTAGTATGAACATTTAAATATATTAATTCTTCCAATTCATGAATACTGTATATCTTTCCATTTATTTGTGTCTTCCATTTCTTTCATCAGTGTTTTACAATTTTCAGTATGTGTTTTACTTCCTTAAATTTATTCCTGTTGTTCTTCTTTTGTACCTATTGTAAATGGTATTTTTCTTGATTTATTTTTCAGATGGGTATTAGTGTATAGTAATGCTGCTGATTTTTATATGTCAATTTTTGTGTCTTGCAACTTTAGTGAATTTATTAGTTCTAACAGTTTTTTTTTTTTTTAGGAGTCTTTGGGGTTTTCTACATGTAACATAATCTGTAAACAGATCATTTTAATTCTTCTTTTCCAATTTGAATGTCTTCTTTCTTTGTCTTGCCTAATTGCTCTGGCTAGAACTTTGTTGAATAGAAGTATTGAGAATGGGCTTGTCTTGTTTTTTTGGTTGTTGTTTTTGTTTTTGTTTTGCTTCAACATTTGACTATATCATCCTTTCTCCTGGCCCATAATGCTTTGTCTGAAAAATCCACTGTTAGCCTATTGGAACACCCTTATATGTTATTTGCTTCTTTTCTTTTACTGCTTTCAAGATCCTCTCTTTTTCTCCCTTCAGGCTGCCCTCCCTTCCTTTGTTCCTTCCTGGGTTTTTTCCCTCAGGGCCTTGTGCATGCCAGGCAAGCACTGTACCACCAAACTACATTCTCAGTCCTATTATTTCTTTAAATGGTCTTTTTACCTTGTACTGTCTCTTTTGTTCTTGAACTTTTATAACTGACTATTCACTGTTTTGATGTTGTCCCATAAATCCTACAAACTTCATTCTTTTTTCTCTTCTGTATATTTTCAAATAACCTGTCTTCAAATTCATTGATTCTTACATTTGATCAATTCTGTTGGTATTCTCTATTGCATTTTTTCACTTCATTTTTTTTCAGCTCTAGAATTTTATTTTTTAAAATAATTTTAGTAAAATTTGTTGTTTTGGTCATTTATGTTTTCCTGATTTTGTTAGTTTCTCTGAACAAAATGGAACTGAGGAAGAAAGAGAAAGAAAAGGGAAGGAAGAAAGGAAGAAAAAGAATCGTTTCCACTTCTCTCAATTTTTCACTGATCTGTCCTAAAAACAGTTAAAACTTTTAAGTTCTTTCTCAGGCAGGTCATGAATCTCCAATTTTTTAGGGCTGGTTACTGGTTTTTTATTTTGGTCCTTTTTATGGTCATGTTTCCTGATTTTTGTTTGCTTATTTGTTTTTGTCCTGTGGCCATTCATTGGTGATTATACATTTGAAGATGGAAGGATTTATATTTCAGTCTTTATAGACTGGTTTTGCCTGGGAAAGCCCTTCACCAGTCAGCTCTTCCAGAAATTCTGGGCATGCCTGATACAGTAGTTGGGCAGCCCTGGCACCTAGGTCATTGGGTTGAGCCCTGGGAGTCAGAAACCTAGGGCCGCTAGGGTAAACCTGCTTATAGGTAAAGTCCAGACATTAAGTGGTAGGGCAAACCTAGAGCCTGGGGCTCAGCCTAAGATACTGGCCTGGAGTCTGGGGCCATGGAGGACTGCCTGACACTGAACTTTACTGAGACAGACCTGGTTTCAGAGTCAAGACAAAGTCCAGGGCTCACTTCTCTTTTCCTTCCTCCATGAGGAGGGTATCTCTCTTCATGCTATACTGCTTGGATTTGAGAGGGAGTGACACAAGAATGTAAAACTGCCTTTCTTACCCTGTCTGTGTGTCTTTACTTCTGTGCTCTGCTTGTGTGCTCTAATATCTCACCTGGTTCCTTGTATCTTGTGAAGGTATTTTCACAGGTGGGTTAATGTTTATGGAGGGCAAGCAGTGAAAATCACTGTTCTTCCATCTTGCCAGCTTCCTGTAGGAAGGCCTTTCTTAATTCCTTCCTTTGTTCTGCACATGGTATTTCTCCCATCATTATCTTCATCATATTTTTCATGCTTTATTGTTTCCTTCCTGGTAAAATTGTAAGCTCCTTGTAAGCATAGACCCAGCACCTAAAATAAAGACTAGAATATAGTAGGCATTTGATAAGTAATTGTTTTGTTTTGTTTTGTTTTGTTTTTTAGTACCAGGGATTGAACTCAGGACCTTGCACTTGCGAGGCAGGCACAGAGCCACTGAGCTAAATCCCCAGCCCCTGATAAGTAATTGTTAAATTAATAGTTTGTGTTTTATAGTTGCACCTTGTTATATAACTTGTCCCAACCCTCTAACTGAAGAGTTTCAGAACCTACTTTCCTACCCTTCTTTTACGCTCCCAAGGTTCATGTTCTTTTCTCACGTGAGCAGAGGCAGACCCAATTCCGGGGCCTTTCTTGGTTTTGACATTTCTGTCTTTCTGATTTCTTCCAGTGTGGTACAGATTCTGCTTGCTGCTGGGGCTGACCCAAACCTTGGGGATGATTTCAGCAGTGTCTACAAGACTGCCAAGGAGCAGGGAATCCATTCTTTAGAAGGTAACTGTGGTCTGACCCATTGCTTTGGGAGCTTTCCTCCTGTGGTTTCCATCAGCCTTGCTCAGAGCCAACACTACTAACATCTCTGCAAGTCCTGTATCTCTGAGAACTCATGGATAACCCTAAGGGATTGGAACAGATGTCCTTCACAATACCTCTGGCTCTATAATGTTATCATTTCAAAAATGTTGGGGAATGAAATAGAAGGTTGAGTTGCTGACCTAGTTAGAGGTAGTGCACATTTCAGGTGGTGTTCTCCTGAAAGTCCCCCAGCCCAGAAAGCCTCAGGTGAGTGAACAATTAAGCAGGGAATATCAGTTTGCTCCTTTTGTACTTCCTGCAGCCTTACCCTCTCCTGGAATAAGAAAACAGCCTCACTGGTTTCCTCAGCTTCAGAAGTTCCTAAACTAAATACTGTTTTTTCCAATATGTACAACCTTGTCTCTAGGTCTGGTCCCTTGCCCTACTGTATGAACCAGGACAAATAGTGGACCTTTTTGTGCCTTGATATCTGTGCTTGTAAGATGAGTTTGACATCAGTGCCTCCTCTGCAGTGTTGTATAAGTGATTGTTGAAATTTCAGAAGAGACAGTGTACCAAGACTCAGCCACCTGTTTTTTGGAAGGCACCTAGGCAGTTCAGTGTTGCCTCTACTAAGTAGTTCTTCCAAAGTAGAGTTGATGTGCTCACTTCAGCACATAGACAGAGTAGTGTTGAGAAGAAAGTATGTTGCTTTGGCTGCAGATAGAAATGAGAATTTTGCATTTGAGCTTTTAATTGTGCAGACTATCCCGACTTCCTGCCGATTGTCCTGGATCACTCAGAGAGACTGAGATTCCTCTTAGACTTCCAGCAGCAGGACCACTGAATAATGGCTGCTTTCAGGTTGGCAATGATGTCAGGTGGATGGACAGCCTTGCTGACTACCTGAGGATCAGAACATGGATTCTTCATGGGCCGGGGATTTAGCTCAGTGGTTTTGCCGCCTGCTGTGCAAGCACAAGGACCCGAGTTCGATCCCCGGTACCCCCCACAAAAAAACAAACAAACCCAAAATAGAACATGGATTCTTGGCAGATTCAGCCAAGGAAAGCAGGGCACCCTCAGTGCTGTTAGTGAGGCTGCCAGGCTGACATGGGCATGTGTGGCCCAGAGTAGAGGGTAATTGGTGACCCAGAGAAAGAACTTTTCAAATCACTGGCTGGAGGGTGTCCGTGAGCATCAGGGTGCTGCTGCCAAATGAAGTGTGAAGTCACTCTCCCCTGCCTTTCCACCTCTCTAAACCTGGTCCTTGTCAAGGCCTCATTGCAAAGGCTAGATCCTCCACAAAGACTTCCTGTCCTTGGTAATAACTGCAGCCTGCCCTCAGTTGCTCTTTTGAATGTTCCCTAAATCTCGGCCTTTACCATGGTTATTTGTACTCATGTCTGCCCATATGTCTTTCTTCTCCTCCTCAGCTGACAGTTCCATGTGCAGGCCATGACCTGTGCCTCCTTGGATTCCCCAAGTGAATTATGTTCACTTTATGTTTCAAACAGGAGAATTTCAAGAGTACCAAATTTGCCCTATATTTGCTGCCTAGTGTGTGAGGACTTGTTTTATGACCTCATTCAAGGAGCTCATTCAGATAAACCATCTTTCTTCAGTTCTGTCAGGTGTTCTCACCAAAAGCAAGAAGGAACATTTTTGAGAGGAGGCAGAATTAGGAGGGAGAGGATTCTTTGAGTGACTTCTCATCTGCTCTCAGGATCCTAGCAGGGCTCAAGAAATATTTTTTATTTCATAGAATCTGAGAGGTCTGAGATCATTAGTCTGATTTCTGCTGTCACATTGGTCTCCACAGCCTACATTTAAATTTTGTAGCTTTGTGTTCTAAAGCTTCTCTCCAGGTTGATACTCATATTCAGCGTTCTAGATCAGTGGTCAGCAATCTTTCAGGAAAGCACCAGATACTAAACATTTTGTGAACCAGTTGGTCTCACTTGTGACTATTCAGTTCTTTCATTTAAGGCAAAAGCAACCATAGACAATAAAGAAACAAGTGAGGATGGATATGTTTCAATAAAACTTTACAAAAATAGGCAGCAGCCTGGTTTGGTCTATAGGCTGTAGTTTGCCAACCCTGTTCTAGATCTTTTCTTTTTTTTCTTTCTTTTTCCTTATCTTTCTATTTATTTTTCCCTTTTAATCAACCTCCTCTGAATTCTTTTTAACTCCTATGCCAGCCAGCCTATGCTTTAGATAGGTAGGTAGACAACAAAAATAATGGAAAAAGACTGTCATGTCCTTCATGAAATAAAAATAAAAATATTAACTATTTCATATGATCTGCAGATTTAGTGAGTAGGCTTTCTGTAGATTCACTTATTTATTCAAAACTATTTATTGATCACATTCCTGTATACCAGGCACTGGTGAGTTAGACAAGATCAATGCCAACATAGATTAAAGTGTTTGTAAGGGCTCAGTTGTGTCCTAGAGCATGTGATCAGGACAATTTTGATGTATGATTCAGCATTCACAGCTGTCATCATCTGAACTTCCTTTCCATCCTCCATTGCTGCATTTTGTCCATAAAATTGTAAGAAATTTTCTCAGATTTTTTGCTGAAGTAAAAATGGATTTAGCATTTCTCTCATTTTCTTGCCCAAATAACCTTTTCTAAAAAGGAAATTAGGTTATTCTGTCATGTTAATGTCTTATTCTCGAGGAACCTATCCTGATGCCCAATAATCATTTACAAGTTTAAAAACCATTGTAAGAAATACATTCTAGAATGTTGTTGGGAATCATTGATTATCTCACTGTGGCTTGCAAGATCTACCCTCTTTCTATCTGTATTCTTTTCTTTGTCACACTGTTTCTAGCAACATATTTTTCAAGGTCTTGGCATTGGATATATCCTGGTCTCTGCTTTCTCATTCTGGGACCTGGATAATGACACTCCTTAAGAATCATCCCAGTGTCCATTGCTCCCGTTACCAGCTTGATCCTTTACCTCCTCCTTAACCATGTTTTATCCTTCCTTTTTCATTTAAGGATAACCCATTCTTCCTTCCCTTCCACCAGTATTCACTGACTGCCTGCTGTAAATAAAGCACTGTGCCTAGCTCTGGGTCATCCTCATTGATAAGGTAGACAGAAACATAAGAATCCATCATTCTCTGTTCTTTAGATTGCATTGACTTTTTTGTGGGAAGTTACTTGACTTATTTGGATGTATGAGGAAGTGTAAAATGGAACAAGAGGTGTGTCCCCCTTACCCAGAGTGTGTTGAGGCATCACAGGAAAGCCACATACTTAGGATTGCTGCCCAGACCTTCACTATTGGAATATAGTCAGTGCCAAAGTTCATCAAGTTCACTTATTTTCTAATAGATATTTTTATGTGCCTCAGGCTACTGTTTTCACCGAGGGAAGGTGGTAAGTTGTAGTGTGTGACTTTGGCAAGAGCTCTCTACCTCTAGTAGTATATCCTTCGTCTACCTTATCAGTATTGTTGTGAAGATCAAGAGATAAAATAGCCATAAATCAGCATACATTTACTATTAGCACTCTTCTAATGCTAGAAATATAGAAATGAACATACATGGTCTAGCTTTCAACAGTTCTGCTAGCAAGTGAAAAGATGACCTCTGAGTAGGGAATCACAGTATGGTGTGGTAAATGCAAACATAGCTATATAAAGAATAAAGGCAGCACTGATAAAGGTAGTGGTGAGCTCTGCCTGGGAGCAGGGATTGTCTGGGATGTGTTACAGGGTAAGTGACTTTTAATTGAATCTTAAGGTTGAGTTGGAGATTGCCAGGCTAGCTAAGAAGGATGGATCTTCTGGGCATAGGGAACAACAGGCACAGCGACATAAGGTGGAGACTGGTGATAGCAGGTAACATCATCTGACACAATTTTAAGAACAATAAGAAGTTAGAGAGGGGAGGTTACTCATGGAAAGGACCTTATAAGGCAGCTCTAGGGAGCTCACACTGTATTCCAAAAGCTATTAAAGGATTTTAAATGGGAAATACTGAATTCACATTTGCATTTTGGTGAACCATTTTGACAGAATAGAGGAGAATTTGGAGGGGAGAGATTAGAAATGGTTCTTGGCCTCTTGGGGATGATGGACTCCTTCAAGAATCTGATGAGAAGCTGTGCTCTTCTCCCTCAAAATGCACTTCAGATTTCTGGTGGCTCCTACAGAGCATCTTTAGAAATGGAGAAAATACATGTTAGGAAGATAAAAAGAGGTTGAGTACTCCGTAGATTGTGTAATGGTGAGGAAAAGGATGTGACTGTGATGAAAATTTAGTTTCTGACTTGGGGAAAGAGTTGGGTGTATGGATCCAGAGTTCAGAGGAGTCTGGACAGGGATTTAGGAGTCACCAGCATTTGCATGGGAGTTGGCTGTAACTGAAATTCCCCAGGGAAAGGTTTAAAGTGAGGGTGTAGGAGAACTACCAGCATTTAGAGTGTGAGGAAGAAGGAGGATCCAGGCTAGGAATCTAAAAGGTATCAGACACATTTTGTATCTTTTCTTCCTGCTGAGGACCAACCGAACCTGTGTTCGTCAGACTCAGTCATCAGTTGCCCGTGCCTAATGCAACCCTTCTCCTGTCTCACATATAAGTACCATTCCTTAGCATGAGCCTGCTCAGCCAGGTGCACCGTAGACTTCCCCACTCTTGTCAAGGTTGGTGTTTCTGAGTAAAGGGCAGGCTTGCTGGTATGGTGGTGCAGGTGCCCCAGGAATACTTGGTATGGAAATCTCCTTGACCTGACTGTTCTTCCCATTCTCTGCAGCCCTCTGAATGGCATCTTCAGAGGCAGGTTGAGTTTCACTGACTGGCTGTGTGATCTTGAGCAAGTGACTTAAATCCTTGACTTTCAGTCTTCATCTGTTACATAGGAATAACAATTCCTATTTTATAGGCTTGTTCGAAAGATTAGAGATAATCACATATATGTAAAACACAGTGACATTGAACAAAGACTTTCTTATG